GATGGCCGTATTTTTATTCTGCATTCTTGAACATTTGTATTCATTCTGCGAGGTGTTCACCATGTTGAAACTGACCCAAGAGGGCATAGTGCCGAGATGTCTTGAGTATGTTGTTTTTTTCTTCCCATCCAAGAGGAGGAAACATCATACGCTTTGGAATTTCAGGAAGCTCATGTAGATTCCTTTACAACCATCTACTAAGTTTCCCTAAAATCTAGGAATCAAATCTTTAGTGCGAGAGCTTCTTCAAGGCCTGGTAGTAGCGGTAGCGTCTCAGTAGCTAGGAGCTTACTTAACCCTTGCTCAATTAAGCATGGAGGCAGGGCCACGGGCTAAGAATAAGAATTACAAGACAGAGCCCGCCAGGAAAACATGTGTTTGATGTGTTGCACCTTCTTCCCCAGGCCTCGAGAAGCTGGAGGACTTTCTATGCGAGACTAGCATTGATAGACAGGTTGTGCAGGAGGCTTGCAGGCTGCGAGCAACCACCAGCTATACCTTCGAAGGCCGGTCCGCTATAGGATGACTCCTGGTGCATATATTTATACTTATAGTAGTATATATGTACATAATATGTGTATCTATATCTAATTTTACAGTATATGTCCTGGTCAGAGAGAGCAATCCAGCGGTCAACTCATCGGTGAAACAACCCAGCGGGTGATGAGAATGGAGACGTATTCAGATCCGTGAGTTTGTCACGAAACACGCCATGATCCAAGCGCTTTGTGGCATCCAGCTTCCTGATGGAAGCCCTGCTCCACCTCGGACTCAAAACGTGGTCCTTTATGCCTCCTCCATGTTTGTTGTACCACTGGGAAAAGACAATTGTAGGGTTCCCCGCATATCAGTTGTTGCCAAATTTGGGGCACTGTCCTCACTGGCTTTGCACTGTAACCGCGATCCCCGCCGCTGGCCCCTCACCCTCTTCTCACACGCTTTCCCCTTCCGCCGCAGGCGGAGAGACGGAAGCTCCACCGGTGAGACGGCGGCGCGCGTACACCGCGGATGTGCTGGATCCGCCGCCCCGGACGGACGCTCTGACAAACGGGGCTTGATGGATGACCGGTGAGCATGGCCATAGCATCAAAGACTTGGGTGATGATCATCAAAGACTTGGGTAGACTCTTGATGAATAAACATGAATACACCCCCTCCCCAAACATGGATTGACAAACCTCCTCTCGCGCTCACGATCTGATGTGAGACTCTGCCGGTGGCTTCCACCACTTCGGCAAACAACGACCCCAATTCTCCAAAGGGGCACCAACCTACGTGTTCATATGGGGACTCTTCATGAATCAAGAGTCTACATTAGCTTATGCTTAGGATCATGTTGTGAAATTGATTGATGTTGATTCCTGTAATTTGTAGCTTGGTCTTGTTGGACTGGTTATCCAATTATCCAAGTACTGTGCAAAAGATGGGCTGCGGAGAGGTGTGCCTCAGACATGGTCAAGGATCCAATGATGCAAATGTTTGGGATTGTTCACTTCAGCAGATCATGAGAGACACCTGAGTTTGCCCGGGTAGTCATTCGAGTGGATTTGTTGATCCAGGTGATGTGTTTTGACCCATTGTTGCATTCGAGCCTCCCCGAACTGAAAGATGTTGACCTAGTGCAATGTCACAATCGACCAGTGTTTCAGTGAGTTCAATGGGTCCAAAAGCCGCGATTGGTTTTCTTCACCAGGCCCCATCGGCAAGTCCAAACGTTTTGGCCGGCGCGAATGCGCATGGCCGGTCGAAGAATTTCGGAGGAAAAGGTCCAAGGATGCATTTGGAGCATGGGGGTGTCAATCCGTTGGCTTTTGACCGGTCGGGGTGTCGGTGACCTGTCGGTGTGCGTTGGCTTTCGCAGGCCTGAAAGCCATTGCTTGACGATTGCAGAGTGATCACTGCAGGGAGATGTACCATAGTTCGGTGGTCGTGTTCTGTCAGGTATGCCATTAAGAGAAAACACAACTTGACCTAACCATGAAGCGACCCAGCCCGTTCCAGTGGTTTTGGGCGGTTCGAAGTACAGCCTTCACTGACTATACATGAGACATCATGAGACAATCTTGGAGAAACCAGTCACCCCCCCTCCAACAATCATGGAAGCTGAAGATTCATGGTTTTCTGGGGGCGATTTGTCTTAAGGAATCATGTGCACAGAATTTGGCAGGCTTGATGGCCCCTTGTTTGTGAGGAAGTCCGCAATGGACCATGTCCATTTGTGATTGCAGCGCCTAGCTGAGACCTGTACTTACCTGTTCCTTCCATAAGTTCATATTATTTGCGCCTCCATATCCAGTGGACCCGCATCCAGTGGCACTTGGTGTGCGGTGACGCACCTGCGAAGCAATTCCGTCCCTACTAAATTCTCTACTGTTGACTTGTTGACTCCTTAGGTCTCCAGTGGTCACAGGCCCGCGTTGGTCAACCTCCAGGCCCGAGTTCTTCATATTGAGGCTCTATCACACCGCTTCCGGAACTGCCAGCTGTTACAGCCCTGGTCCTTCGAAACAGCCACTGCTTTAGGATGGGGCTGGATGGATGTGACGATTGGCGGGGTGAGGAGGAAGTGGGGGCCATGTCTTGACAATTTGTTGCAGTTTGTTTTAGTCCGTGAAGGTTCTATAGATAGGAATCCAACACTTGCATGTGGCATCATTTTGCTGTATGGCGCTACTTGCGTGAAGAGGATTCTCGTTGCTCAGGTGGGTGCAATGTTTGTTCTGGGGTGCTTCTTGGACTTTGGAAGCGTATTTTCTTGGGAGTTGACAGGAATCAAATCAAACCCGGTTGGAAGAGCCTCAGAGAGGCAAGCTCTTGTTCGATTCATTCGCACCAGTTCCGCCAGTAAAGTTCCAGGAACCTTCTCTTCAGAAGTTGGGCAGGAGGCGAGCGGTTAGGATCTAAAGTGTTTCCAATGCGCATGGATGACAAAGAAACAATATTGAACATATAATTATGTTCTATTTTGAGAGTGCACGCTGCTGGTGTTTGTAATGTTTGACAGCTTACGTAACAATACTGACATATGTTGAACACTTGGAGGATGAGAAGCTTCAGTAACAGGACCTGTTGAATATGGCGAAATATTGCGAAAATTGCTGAGTCAAATAGTTTGCTGCCTCATGTCGAGTAGAGGTGGGAAGTGCAGTCACCTCCAGGCAAGGGACTTAATAAGTCAGCTACCAGGCGGTTCAGAGACTGGAGAGTGGGTGGGGATATTTGCTCGCCTTCGCCTTGATGCACTAACCGAGACCAGCTTGGGCCACTTCCAAGCTAGCAAAGATCCATCTTCCAAAAAACCACCAAACAAACCACTTCATGACAAAACATTGACATCCCATGGGATTGTAAGTGCCACATCCCATTGACATCCGACTGTTTGAGGATCCCATACCACTTCAGAGACATGCCATGGGATCCTCAAACAGCACTTCCCGAGGCCGGATCCAGATCCCTGGGCCGTGGCGAGGGCCTCAGGGCCTCGAACGGGCTTATTTCACGGTCAACCCTTGACAGTCGGTTCGTTTCACCTCTCGGTCGGTCGGTTCTTTTCGCACAACCCCTCGACTTCACATGGATCCGAACGAACTGACTCGACTTCAGTCGCTTTGTCTGTCTTCGGCAGAGGTCGCACCGTCGAACGAAGACGCTTGGTTCCGTGGCTTCGTCCCGATGTTTGGGACGAAGCGTGGGCTCCCATGGCTGTGTTTGTTCGTCGTGAACGGGTTCGTGCGCGGTTCGCGCGGTCTCCCTTTTCGGCGCAAGACCATGCAAGGAAGCTATCTCCTTCATTGAGACTGAGCAAGGCCATGGCTACATCCTTTTTGGCACAGACGAATTTTGAAGGTCACGGCCCCATTCCTTCGCAGTGTGGAGGTCGCGGTGCACTGCTGTGCAGTGTTCATGTACCCAAATAGCCGCGGCAGAGGTTTCCAGACAATTCTTCCAAATGGCATGCTGTGCACTGTAGTTTCAATAGTGCTACTTGGTCCAGTATATGGAGAGCCAACCAGAAGTGTGAAGATCTTTCTGCACGAGAGCCCGAACCACTGGACTGGAAGAGATGGGCTGCCGGAATGCTTCGGAGTCGAACCTGCGCGAGTACAGTCCGGTGCCGATCACTGGGCCATTGCACCATGCCGAGTGATTTCCAGAGCTTTTCCAGGGCTCAACTCGGTGGAACATCAAGGCCAATGAAGAAATGGCGGTGGGTCAAGGACTGTAAACTCCCTATTCAGAAGGCATGTGCATGTGCTGTATTTGTTGGGGGTGCTCACCATGCTCACCTGTTGAGTGAGACATGGACAGGATTGTTTGCTCGGTCTTCAGTTTTGACCCATGCCAAGTCATCCAGTGAAGCAACGCTGGTTGAAGACTGGCAACAGGATCCTGAGCGTCAGCGAGGCCGCGCGAACTCTTTTTTTTTTGGGCGTTTGCTCGAGGTGTACTTCTTGCATTGCTGTAGCCATTCCCTGTGCTACCAAAATTGTTGTAGCCTTCTTGATTCAAGATTTGTTGGACTGCTCAGGCTTGCCCCCACAAGCTGCAAGCTCTCGTGGGACGTTTTTCACCGTACGCGTCACCTAAAGGTGAGTCAAGCGTGCGGGCGAATTCGAGCTGCTGAAAAACGGATGAGCAGGTCAGGCACGCGAGAAATGATCCTTCTGGAAACGTGGAATTGTTGCAGGTTGCTCTAAGGAGCTTGGAACATGTTAGACTCTTAGACGCTTCAGTGACCACTAACTCCTCGGCATGTGTTGCAGCAGCGTCCAAGTGGGGGCGGCGCTGCATACCGTCCGCCACGCTAGGAAGATGTGTGTGTTTTCATATGATGTTGTATACTGCCTACGAGTCTACGCCATATTATCGCCGTAGAATCACCAGCCATTCCTCTACCATGTCCTGCCCACAAATCACCCTGGAGGCACCAGCCCTCAAACTGCAAGTCGACAGCTGGCAGCCTGCAGATGTTTGTTTTCCTCGACCCTTGGGACAGCCAGGTACTCTTCTACATCACCATGCTCCCCTTGCTTTTTTGGGTCAGGGCCTCAGCGAGCCACGCCTGCCTCGGTGTTACAGCTGGCATCATACACGATGCCCATGTGCAATTTGCGGTGCTCAGGTAGGAGAACTGCAGCCGGGGCCGCAGAGTGCTGAACACTCCGTGGGCGAAGGAAGAAGTACCGGTTGTGAACATGGTTTTAAGTTTTCACTGACTCAAAGGTGCTGAGTGACGTGAAGACATGAAACAGACACAAAAAGCGTTGTTCACGTGCTTGGGATCCATGTGAGCCGTGCAAAAGCTTTGCTCGTTCACATGACTAGCTGCTTAGGGTGTTGTCATGCTGAAGGCGGCGCATGTCAGGTTTGAAGAAACATGCTATTTAATATGATATGGAAAACGCAATGTGCAAGGCGCAAGTACGTACAGTGCTCGTAGTAAGCGCAGACGCTCCGTAAGAAGTACAATCCGACAAGATACCCAGAGCGTCTTTCGCTCGCTGGCGTGTTTTCCAATTAAGTGCTGCGTGTGAGCTCACACATGTTGGTTTGTGAGAGCAGCGTGAGCAGTCGCCAAAGCACAATAACTATATGTACATAGGAATCTGCTAAAGCTTTCAGAAAAGCTGCGCAGTTCGTAAGGTAATTATGGGGACTGAACTGCATGCAAGCGCCTGCAGGCTGGGGAACCAAGTAGGCCAACTTCTTTTGAGAATCCAGGACCACCTTTACACCACACCTTCCGTTGTTGGATGCGGTTCATTCTGATGCCTTTCCATACTTTCAGGTAGGTAGGATGAGTTGACAAGATTCAGGCTTACGTTTTGAGGAAAATTCCATGAGAGATAAGCATGAGGAAATGTCAGCAGGCTCGGAGCATGGCTTGGTTTTGAAGGTTGGTGGTGTGTCCGGTGCGAGGCCGGGCAGTAGACTGATCGCTACTGGCAATGGATCAAACAAGCCCATTGTTGTGGGGGGGGGGGCGTGCGCATGCGTGTGCATTTGTGCGATCGCTGATCTGGAGATCTGGAGGGCATGCGTGCGCTCAGTGAGACTGCTATCACAAACCAAGTGGGTCTGTTTTGCTTGAGGGCGAACACTGAGACGTGGTGCTCCGCAAAGAGTTTCACTTTGACCCAGACTTTGGCCATCACTAGCCTGACAGGAAGACCCTTGGAATCGTTGGAAATGGTGAGACCTTTAGTAGCAGGGACGCTGTTAGGTTGGAGGCCATCGCTCCAAGAAACAAGAAGCTACGCACGTAGCAAGGCTCACGTTCTCCGTTCACCGATGTGGGGCCCAGTGGAGCTGGGCCGATTCACAGAGTCCTAAGGCTGGCCAGGCAGGCGACCTCGTCGGGGGTGCTGAGAGTGAGGTGTTTGGGATGGTTTTTGGCTTTCTTGATCCAGGAATTCAGTCAAACCGTAACCTAGTAACTATATTATAAGAGGCTATATATAATTAGAACTGGTAGGACCGGACTATAGAAAAGAAACGCTCACTTGATGGTCTCGGCCGCCCTGTGGCCTGTGACGACAGCCTTGGGTTGATTCGTGCAGACATGGAGGAGGGTGTCCTGTTGCCCGACCGACGGCGGCAGGGCGAGTCCCTTGTCATGCTAAGAATATCCAAGAATTATTGTCAGAACAGCCAGGGGTTCACTTGCAAGTTTTTCGACTGCATGGGACAATTTATTCTTACCAACGAGTACGCTTGTAGGAGCTAGAGAAAGGTTGCCCTTTGTATCCAGCAAAACTGGGCAGCAGAGGTGGACGTGAAGTGGGCTGGTTTTCTAGTGAGGCAAGGTAGCCGTCGTGATGCTGCAACCCGGAAGGGGTAGCTAGTATTGAGCAAACAACACTCACACCATCTCTCATCTATAGTGGACGGACTTATTTGGCTTGCCAATCTGCAGTGTTCGTCTCAAGTCAGCAGTGGCTGCTCAATCCACAACCAAATGCTTCGGGCCCACTTGCTTCGCTGAGTGAACATTTGGCGTCCAGATGAACCCAGACGACCTAAAGGACAAAATAAATACAGAAAAGACAAAGCCAAAGCGTATCAAAGCGTCCAAGTCTTCCATTCCGGAAACCCAAGCTCATCCAAGCCCCCAACCGGAACAATGTTTGTGGACTTCGGCCTTCACCAAGCCTTTTCAATGGTCCCTCGTCCGGGCGTTCCGTTTCGCGACCGGAACGTTCCGTTTCGGGCGACCGGACGTTTCGCATGAGGTTCATGGCGACCTGCATTTACGTGGCGCACCGAGAGATCGAGTGGCGCATCCTCCGGAGTCACGGCGCGGCGGAGCCGGCTGAGGTGGGGAATGCCGTGAAGGACGCCATCAGTGCTCCACGGATCGGGGTCCAAGGCAAGTCAAGAGGGTTGGATTCGCCCAGAAAAAAAACATGGGTTTTTGTCAAAGGCAAACGGAAGGGTAGTGCACAGAAAGGGTTTTGCAAAAACCTATTCTACTAACGTCGTGGAAGGCGCGTGACCTTCGTAGAACCCAAGGCTGTTCGTGGACAGTCGTGGAATGGTGGGCCAGTAGGAGAACTGACTGCAACGAAATCCCAGAAACCTTCGCAGAACTTCGTGGAAGGTATTTTTGATGCACTAACTTCGTATAAGCGATTTTTGCTGACCCCCTTTCTCCACACACCCTCCGTTTAGCCTTCATTTTGGAATGCAGCGATGAACGTTGGGATGACGCTGGATTCATGGTGTTGTTTGATTGTTGCTTTTGATTGTTGTGTTTCTTTCAATCGATCTGTTCTATTTGGTGATTAGGATGCCGACCAAGAGTGACCCTCATGTGCGGTGAGGCCGGACTGGAGCAAAGGAGTCCGCTTGGTCCGCCCTGCTCTGAGGATTTCGATGCAATGACATGAAAGTTATACGTGATAACGTATGACTCCGAGCGAAGCAAAGATGAAAGCCACCAGTTGAATGTTCCCTGTCAAACCCTCCTTTGAACATGAACACCTGGAAGACCTTGTTCATCCTTTTTCCTTTTATGAACCAGTATGAACCGGTTCTTTCATGGTTCTCAATGGTTCTCTTTGTTTTCCAGATGTTTCTGGCACCTCTGCCTGTTGCTTCCCGCGTGTCTCCTTCGCACGTGGCTCCTTCGCAGGTGATGGGGCTGGCGATGGGTCGCGGGGTATCTCAGGGCGCATGGGTGGGGCAGGAAATGGCCGAGGCACACGTTTTGGTGCGAAAGAACCGTGCCGTTAAGGACAGTCCTTCGCCGAAATCCAAGGAACACTTATTGCTTATGTTTCCTTTGAAACACCATGGGCGAGGGCAAACAACCTTGCAGGCAGAGTCGAGCTGCCTAGATTTGCTCCAAGAGATCTTCCAACAAGCAGAGGATTCCTTTGACCGTTTAGCCCTCCAGGCAGCCTTGTTTGAAGCAAAGCACCATAACATTCGTTGCGACCGATCATCGGGCATGTCCATACCATACCATTGCCCAGCGATGTCTTCATCAGGGGAGCAATGAGAGAGGGGCACACTTGCTGCCATGCCTTACATATTTTTGTTGATTACCAACTATGGCCAATCTCGCCTCATCCCTCCAAGAGACAAACGTGGGGCTGGTTCCCAAGTGACGAGGGGTCGCACGGTCGTGTGTGTTCTTCGGTGTTCTTCGCATGGACATCTTAGACTCTTGGATCAAGAGGAATATCAGTAATTAAACGATTAAAGGCCATGGTGCACTCCCTGAAATCGCCACGGAGGTGAACAATGGCATTTTGGATGACTCGTTTTCTTCCTTTAACAAATATAGGTGGTTTTCCACATCCATGATTCCAGGGTGTGTATACAAAAAGCGTTGTAGCTAACGATAATCCTTCTTTTTGCATGTGGTGCTCGGTCCGCTGGGAAGCCCGCTTGATCGCTGGGAAGCACCGGGTGACGGTGTTTGGCCCACTTGGTCCCCCTGGCTTTTCAGGCAGCTTGACTCTACTTTTGGACGGAGTGTGAGTGAGGTGTTTTTTTGTGTGAAATGCATTGAGGGGACAGGAGGAAACGAGGAGTATCGAGGAGTCCATGGACATGGAGGAAAGATTCCATGCAAGCCGAGTCCATGGAACATCAAACAGAGGAGTCCATTTCCATACAATACTCCTCCGGCAAACTTGGCGAACGTTGGAAGCAGTGAGACCAATCAAGGAATTTGCACGTGGATTCTGATTCATGTAAAACCCTTGGTTCATTTGTAGGGACATACCGTATGCCTCAGATAAGTGGGGCTTGGGTTTTGGGTCACCCGTCAGTCATAGTCATACGTGTTGAATGTTGTTGAGACATTGCCTTCAGAGAGCCTCAGAGCGTTAGATGACTTGTTTCAATCGAGATATCCTTGTCGCGGGTTGCAGGCAGACGGATGAGATGGAGTACGGCTTGCCCAGCTCGGCTCCTCAAGGGTTGGGAGGGCCATGGGGAGCGCCGTGGGGTCATCGTACAGCTGCGGTGATACAGCCCTTACACATGGAAGATGCTTAAAGATACAATGTAATACAGAAGGGGCAAAACACAGGCCCCACGGCGGCCCGCTCTCTAAAGATAGAGCCACCTGCATGTAGAATCTAAGATAGAGCAATTTTGAGTCCTAGGTCCCAAATGGAGAAATCGGGTCAAATTGACCTCCTTTGGCAGATGCTTTCATTCCCCAACCCATGGCAAGCAGCCAATCTGCAGATGATCAGGCACTCACACGATCAACACGCTTTGCATGTGAGGCGCCCAGAATTCAAGTTCCGCTGGAGCAATCAAAGCCTTAAGGTGAAAGTCAAGCATTCAGTGAGCCTTTGCTTTCGAGCAGTCCCAGTAGTCCCCCCTCCTGATACCTTCCCTCCATCTCCGAACCTGTTGCAACGAGGATGACTCAGACCCCCCATGTCACCAAGCACACTTGACGTGCTATGCTCCTGCGCTCGCTTTGCCCGTGATTGATTCAGGTGGAGCTATGTTTTCTACTACTACAGCAGCTCCTCCAGCCACTTTGACAGCCAGACGTTTGAGCTAGATGTGCTTCTGGATGCCTTTGCACATTTTCAGCCTTTTGTATTCCTTTAGCCTGTGCTATGTTTTGACATTTTTGGTGCCATGCTGTGAAGAGTGAGCGATTTTGCGGCAAATCTTCTCCCATTTGGATGGCCAGCGAGGCTACGGCGATGGCTTCTCGGTCTATTTGCGGACATTGAGGCGATGCCAAGCTCCGCAAATTGGGGTGTGGTGCCTTTCTGGATCGGAGTTCCACCGGTCCCACGGTTTCTCTTTGGAGGGATCATGAATGGGTCGACCACCCATTCTTGCGAGGTCTCCGTGGCTGCTTTTGTTTGAAGCTCAGACATGGCGTCAAAGCCTGAGAAACGAAATGTTGGACACCCCAGGCTGTTCATTCTGAACATCACCTGGTGCTTGTTTATGATGCCCGCGCCTCAATCAGAGAATCGAGGAGGTTTTTAATTCTAGGGAGTCCTGGGCAGGAATGGCATGGAATGGCCATCAATGATGAAACGTCTAATGACTGGTTCCTGATGTTGTTTCTTCTGGGGGGGGGGGGGGGGGGGGGGGCAGGACGTGTCACAAATGCTCCCGAGGCATGGTCGTGTGTACTTGGGCATGCACTCGCCCATCGACATTGTGGTATCCTCAGCCGATGCGAAACGGACCAGGACTTGCAAGAACTGAAGTGGTGTGTTGCGAGGTTGCCGGATTGGTTTTGGCAGTTCTGTTGCTCCACGTTTACATCCAAGTCCCAACCTTACATATGACCTGAAAACAATGCAACCAAATGAAATGAACAAAACAACGTCATTTGCGGAGCGCGTGTTTGAACATTTGTTTCCGTCAACTATGGCATTTTAGTTTCTTGTATTTGGATGTATTTGGCCAAGATTGATGATTTCATCGATGCCTGGATGACTGCAACAACTGCTTTCGTATGCGTCTCAGCCTTCAAAAAAACTGGTGCATGTACGTATGTGCAAATGTTTTTGGGGTTAATTTTTCGATCCAGGTACCGGCCTACCAATTGGCCTTTGCATCCGTTCTTTGTTCCAATCTCAGCATGAACGAACGATTTAACGTGTACTGATGCTACAGGGATGGCATGTGAAGGATGTCATGTCCAACCGCCTCGCCGCAACCAAGGTTGGACTTACCCAAGGGGGTTGCAGCCCTGACCTTGAAGACATGTTTGTTCTGTTTGTTTTTGTAATGAACTTCAGGTTTGCGGTTTGCAGAGGTTGTTGTTTGGTTTATTTTCAGGAAGACGCCATCTTACAACTATGCAGTGTATTTCACGGGCGTTTGCCAGAGGCCCAAGCTGTTTCTTAAGTGTGTGGCTGGAGGTACTATCATTCATTTCATTTCATTTCCATTAGCAGTCACCGTTTTTTATTCACACCTGGACGACGAGGAATCCAGTCCGTTGTTTAGTAACGGTCACGGACGTTCCCTGGATCTGAACCAGGAAGAATGGACGACCTGCAGGGTTTATTTCTGTTCTTCCCACTTGAATTGACTTGACGTTTTAGCCGAGAGGTCCGGTGTTCAGAACGTTGTTGATTGACACCCACAAAGGTGTACCCCCGAGACATCGTGGAGTTTTCGACTGCGCATCCATCGGCTCCTCGCTTCGCCGCGGTGGAACCCGCTCCACTTGTTCCGGTGAGTAGGACGCCCGTTCCGGTGGCTTCGGTGGTTTGATTCGTAGTGATGCGAAACACCCCACTCATGCGCTCGTGGCATTGGTTTGTAACTAGGAGGACCCATGGAGACCCCCTGAAAGTGGCCCAACATAGACTATAGTAGATGCTAAATAACCAATTAAATTTGTTGAAGGGGTCTCCCTCTTACCAAGACCATAATATACGAGCCTCCACGCGCTGAGGCTTGGGTGTGGTTACTGGGGTTTGGCGTTGCCCGCATCATCACAGCGTCAGGGACCTAGGCCGCGGCCGGGCCATGGCCTCCTCACAATGTAATAGTTGCATGTGTTTCTTTTGGGTCTCAAGTGTTGATCTCGGCTGCAAACAGTGTGTTTGAACCCCAACATGTGATGGTTGCAGGATCCGGCCGGGATCAGCTTCAATCGAACGTTAAGTTGAGAGAGTTGAGGGCGTCGCCGTTCAATGCTTTTGAGCCATACTTACTTGCTACCTTTTGGACTCTTTCGAAGTGATTCAGTGATTTCAAAGAAGAGTCATGGCACCAGCCCACCCCGGCCCAACCTGCACCAGCCCTGCACCACCTGGGAATGGACACCTGAGCGACACCGAGGTGGAAGCTGCTGCACGGTTGCGGGAAGTACCTGGGGCGAAAAAAGGAGGACCAGGATGTGAATCCAGGTGCGGGGGGCTTTGCAGTTTGTGTTTGGGTTCCCATGGACCCATCACCCATCAATTATTGTTTGGATGTTTGTTGCTATTATATTGTTTTTGTGTTTGTTTTTTGTTTCAGATGTTCTTGAACGGTTGCTTTTGGTTGATGATGGCCCATGTGGTTGTGAGAGTGCCTGGAACACCTTGCTCAAGCCGGAGAATCTCAACATATACTTTAGAGTTTGTGTGGGTTTGTCGTTTTTGCCATTTTGTATGTTTGCACAGTTGTTTGGTTGCTTGTGTTTCCCCACTTGTGTGTTTGTTTGTTTGTTTGATTTATGTTCTTGTTTTTTTTGGTTTAGCTTATTTGTTTGGTGTTGTGTTTTTGTCGGATTGCTTGCTTGTGGTGTTAGTTTTACTTGCGCGTGCTTCTTTTTCCCAGAGATTTAAGGGCAGAGAGTGGCCAGAGTCAAAGTCGGCCTTGGGGCATGAGAACTGGCTTTCGGGGAGTCACGAGTGGCGGTTATTTTGGATGGTTACTCATCCAAGACTAAGAGCCAAGGTGAATTCCCTAGAATGTTTGGCTAAGAGTTTGGGAGTGGATCGAAGTCCCCAAAAGCAAAGGCATTAGACATTTGTCCCCATTTGAAGGGTGTATTTAGTTTTAGACATGGACATCATACTGTCATGCACCTTGCCAAACCAACCTACTTATATTGCTAATCCTTCTTTAGGTGATTGCTATTCTTGTTTGAGTTTGGTCAGATGATGGCCTTGGCCCAAGCACCTAGACTAGTTTTTCATTCTTAATTGGGGAATTCACAAAGGGCTTGACCCAGCTTTGGCTCTCACCCTCCCCAAACGCAGCCCAAAGTCAAAGGGTTTGACAGCTTTTCTTGAAAGCACCTGCTTTGGGGTCCCCAAGTTCGGGCACGAAGCGATCCAGGTTGAAGATTTCCACCGTGACACGAAGCGATCTGACCGGTGCCAAGGTTCGAGGCCCCTTTCCCAGCGTGAGCTTCTTCGTTTTCGGAGGTGCTGTCGTTTTCGGGTGTCTCGTCGGGAGGATGTTGGAGGATCAGACATCCCTTCAAAACCTTAGGAAAACAACCCTCATTTGCAGGGCTGCCCTGAATTTCGCCTTTGAGCACCTTCAGATCTTCTGCCAGGGCGTCGCTTTTTGCTGGGCCTGGTGCTGGTGCTGCTCTTGCGGGCAGTGACCAAGGAGGTCCTGAAGCTGCTGGGACTTCGATCTGCTTGGGGACCATAGAGTTTTCTGAGGGTTTCTGAACAGGTTGTCCCTGTTGGAGAAAAAACACATGGAGAAAAGCTATTCTGGTCAGTTGATGGTTTTGAATGTGTTTGACAGATCGGACATAATTCCCTGAATCAGTTCGGAAAGCAACTCGGGGGATGAACAAAAAAGGATGTTGTACCATCCATTAAATGCTATGTGTAGTGCTACGTGTTTAAGTCAACAGTCTATAGTTATAGCTCCAAAATCGAAACGTCAAACCCATGGAGAACGATGGGAACTGTGCAAGGACGACCCGAAACGAAGACGGGAAGACGAGGATGGCGAAATCAGTCTTTGAACACGATTATATTTTTCGACCGCTGGCACCGATGAAATTGATCCAGGCGACTGGAAGATGTTGAAAGTCTCCATTTCAACGGATTTCTCCATTCTCAAAGTCCGAGTGTCACATGTGTTTTTTAAACTCTACAGTTGTCCCAGCATCACTGGGGATAGGATCACCGAGTTACAGTGCTGAGAATCATCACTTGCAAGACTGGTTATTAAGACTTGGACGCAGCTGCTGACAGCTCAGGATCCTTGTCCCAGCAGTGTTGCGGCTTTTGAGCATTCCGCACTCTGATCATGAGCAGATCCGGCATGTTGAGATGTACCGGGAGCTCCAAGGTGGTACTCGTAGCTCATTGGGCCTCCAAGGCTCCAAGTCATAGCAGACCTGGTGAGTTGTTCTTCTGGGCCACCTGGGATGCGCAAAGCTTATCACGCAGCTACTCAGTGACTCAGGGATATCCAAAAAGCAGCTGACAGGGTGCCGATTCAGTGCATTGATATGCATTGATGTTTTCAGAGTAACAAGGGCATCGCCATTAGGAACAGGTGCATCGCTACTACGTCAGTGTAGTAGCAAGAAGCTACCAGTATCTATTTGCTACTAGTAGTACTGCCAGGAGCTACTACTAGCGTCGAGTCCTTGTTTCTTGATTTCAATCCATCGAGTTCTGTCACACGAAGTCGTTGGTTTGGGCAGCATGAAGCGACGGCCAGGGCGCAAGAGAAGGCAAAAAAGAGCCCCATTGGCTACAACGCTTGGCACTCAGAGAAGAGTTTCAGCTCGGGCTTATGGCCAGATATATAAGATGTCCTCAACGGGTCATAATTCGATGCGGGATGATGCAGGTTGTTGTACTGACATAGTTTCACCTGTAAGCAGATGTACAGTAGATCATTTGCTTGATGAACACTACGGCTTGTATCTGCAACAAACCATTGGTTGGGTGTCCACGTGGTCTTGTCTCCTCTAGTAGTGTACGCTTCTTCTAATCAGAATGGAAGTGGGAAGACATAAGTTCTCGAGGAGTCGAAGACTAAGAACTTTTTTCAAACAAATGCACAAGTGGGTATGGGATGTTCAAGAACAAACGTGAGGAGGAACCATAAATTCAACAAATTAATATGTTATATATGTTGTTTTATTGTGTTTTGGTGTTTGTTTCACTTTGCCATCTTCAACTTGTTGAATATCGCAAGTTCAGAGTAGAGACGAAAAAACACATCATTTTTGATGTGATCTCTGTATACTTTGCGCATGTTTCTCGTGCACTTCTGCATGCTTCTCCGCGCTTGGATGGCCCTGCGCTTCGCCCTGGAGGTCCTGACACCCATCCGACTGCTGAACTATGCGGCCGTGGGTTGGGCCGTGGTCGGGGGCCCACGAGTCTGGTCGGGATGCAAAAGCAGGTGGTCTCTTCGTAGCTGTAGCAAGTTGTTTGTTTTTTTTCCGTTTTTTTTTGGGGTCTTTTCTTGGGGTCCCAATAGTCTCAAATATCAGCGGATGAGGGCGGTTTTTGGTCTGGGCATCTACTCTCGACAGTAAAAATTGTCAGAACTCAGACAAAGAACAGAAAAAGCGTTTAAATATATCTAAATATCATATTTTTGTGTGTTTACTGGGGCATGCCAGGCGCTTTTGTCCACTAGTTTCCCGAACATCGATTTTCCTGAGACCTGAGGGAATTTGTCCTCTTTATGGTTACAATGCTATGGGGTGGTATGGTTTGCTTGTCGTTTTGGAGGGCGTTTGGGAGCGGTCATGGCCCTGTTTCTTGGTCCTTGGTCTTTAGGAACCTTTACTCTCCTAGCCAACTACTCTACAATTTGGACCACACACCACACCACTAGTACTGGATGTTTGTGTAGCTAGATGGTCCAAGCTTGCAGTGCAGATATTGTGTGTTTTTGAGTGCGCAACAACATTGGGAGTTTTCCCAGATATCCTAGACATTAGCAGTTACAGTACCACATGAACCATGGCCAGATCTCCCGGGTGTCTGAAGTCCAAGTCCAAGTGTCTTCCGCTTCGAGCCGAGCCCATGGAGTCGGGCACAGACACAGACGGACGATAATGCTCTTTGCACTTGGCCGTGGTAATCGCCGTCTCCTCTTCGAAATCTTGCTACAACTAGACCGCCGCGCGGTCTCAACTCATCTCATGGCTTTCCCAAAACTTGTGAAATCATGTTTATTGTACTCACTCACAGTATGTTTGCAAACATTTGCTTCCTTGTGGACATTGGCTGAGTTGCGTCCCCTTGTGAGGCCTTTCTCGGAGCTCTCGAAGACTCAAAAGGCCTCTTTCGCCGAAGCGCACTCGTCTCAGGTGGAGCCTTGCTTCGACCTCTTTCAGTGGCTTCACATCTGAGACTCGCTTCACTCGCACCGCGCGCGCCGCTCGTCCGGCCTCACGGTCGGGGCTTTCCAGACCAAACGGTTCGGACCGGTCCAGTTTTAATGGAAGCCTGGTGTTTGTGGGTAGTGAATGGTAGTGAAGAGGACGATTTCACCGTTTTGATGCCATGGTAAAGTCGCCCATTCGGGCCCTTTCTAGGGGTATGCCCAAAAGACGAGCTTGAAGACAGCGATGCAATTTGCTATCATTTCAATAGCAACGCTGAACTAGTCTCATTTGACAAAGTTTTGCAATTGTGTAGGATGCCTCGCAGGCCTTGGATGAAGCAGGGTTGGTGCTTGCGGGGTATGTACAAAGCTGGCCTGCTGAGGATGCGCCATGTGCTCCAAGCAGATTAATAAATCCTCAGCCATGTGCTGTGTTGTTTACCCGATTGATTTCTTGGCTCGAAAAGAGAGGTGCACCTGGCCCAAACCTGGGAGTGACCGGACAACTATAGGGTCCGTGCAGGCACGAAAGGGCTTTCCAGTCAGTACCACTGACTGGAAAATCACGGGATCAATCCTGCTTGGGTGTCAGGATCTGTTAGGTACCCCCCAAACTCATCGAATCAAATCAACGAATAAACTATTCGTTTCTCAGAATCCCTCACTGTCCCCCGGCCACGGTCAGTCCAAGTCCTAACGAAACCAATGCATTTCGGGATGAACGGTCCGACATCCCCGGATGAACGTCGCAGACTGACGAACGTCGCGTGACCGGTGCGTCTCGTCAAGAGGTCCAAAAGCATGCACATGTTGGGAATGTATGCTCTAGTGTATGCTCTATACCTTTTTTGTGATGTGGGGTTTTTGGCCCAAACCCAACACACCCAACATCACTGCATTCAACCTTACCTTTTTGGTGAATCTTGTGGATTTGCAGTGGACACTCCTTGGACCTGGAAGGTCATGGTACATGACGTGCCAAGATGCGCCAAGCGGTTCCAACAGACGTGGACCGGACCCAATCCCTGGATCCGAAGCCGACGTTGGGTCGAGGATGACGTAGCAGATGAAGCATGATGAAGCACTTTGTTATGCCAAGTACTTTTGGCTTGAGTGAAAGGGGGATCCTCCCTCCCAGGGTCCCAGACTGTTCTTTTCCCGACGATGTGGGGGAAGACTGAACCGTTTTTTTGACGTTGCATTCAACGACGGTCCAGGCGCATGGCTCATCAGATCGGTACGTTTCTTGAGGCCGAAACACCCGCTACTTGCTGTTTGTTTTGGGCTCCAGACGTTGCCGCATGTGGCGCAACGCATGGAGCGCACAAGTGTATGGGTTGCCAAGCAGCTGGGCGCAACTGGATCTGAAGAATAGAATGAAGATGCATGTGGCCACCACACGGATGTGAAAACAACTGTTACGCATGATCAAGGCTGCAATGTAGTACCAGTAGCGGATGGCCTCACCAGGTGTTTGGAAGCAACCAAACACAGAACCAAGAAACCTTGCTAACGGAGTCTTCTTTTCTTGACATATAGAATTCAGCCACCACACTCAATAGTATAATTTGAAAGTATCATAGTACCTGATACCCTACTTGGTGCAGGCATCAATCCGTCAGACGGTGGGTCCAAAGGACTTAATTTGCCATCGATGCAATCACTTAGATTGGATGGCCGACTGGCTGAGATTTTGTAGGAAGATCGCGCGCAGGCTGGACATGTGAGATAGCACGGGGTGCGACAACCCATTTCGGCGTTGGCGTGGTGGATCGTGGTAGCTTTTCAGTGCCCGCAAGCGACTACTGTAGTGCAGTGTGAGAAACGTAATCGTCCATGGTCCATAATGGTTGCCGTTGTTGAACAAGCACTTTGCTTCAATTATTATGTTTAGATCAGATAGAGCTTAAAGAATAGCCCTGAATCGTTTGTTTACTGATTTGAAGATGATTTGCCTTTGACCTGGCCCAGCTCGCTTCTCGCCAGGCGTTCCGCGCGCGCGTTCGGGGACCTCGTGGATGTCCCCACGATGTGCCGATTTGGTGGAGGCGAGTCGTCGGCGTTTTGCTGTGTTGCTTTGCTTCGATGGGGAGGAAGGGGGGGGCAAGATAAAGGTTGAAGATCAACGATTCTCTACTAGTATACAACAAGGGCATCGCTACTAGGAACAAGGGCTACTAGTAACAAGGTCGTTACTACTAGTAGATCTACTAGCATTAAGCTACTAGTAACAAGAGTAACAAAATAAGCCCACGTGTTGGTTGACACATGCATGGGAGAACGTTATCGTGGTTTCCTTCAGAAGGTGCTTTGGTCGGTGAGGATTCGTTGGACCTTTGGACAGGTGAACATGGACCAAAAGAGGTGGTGGAACTATTGAGAGGATGATCAGCAAACTGCGACAATTAGCCATGGTCAGCAGAACCACTGAAACCGTGGTCACTCTCTCTCTCTCTCTAAGTTTTGTTTGTGCACTGTTGATATAAAACACATGACATGTAGTTTATACAGTACCCAGCTGTTTAGATGAATGAGGTCTCAAAGTAGCTAGAGGCGCTTCCGGAAGCAGCCTGCGGATGCAGCCAAATCCGATTCTAACTTATATATAATACATACAACCGCTATAAGATGTAGCCCAAAGCCACCTAAGTGGAGGTGGTATGTCATTGGATTTTGTGGAGGCGACCCAAGTGACCAACTCAAACATACTGAAAAACAAGACCATTCAAATGGTTTAAAAAAGAAGCTATTAGAAACAAGTGCATCGCTTCTAGTAACAAGTGCCTTACTAGTAGTAACAAGAAGCTACTAGTAACAAGATCATTCAAATGGTTTGCATGGAGCGTTTTGGAACACTTTTTTGGCACATGCTCATCGCGCCAGACTTTGGGGATGCTCCAGTCCATCGTCGCAGCCTCAGAGACGTTGGCGCTGTCATCGTCAGGTCCTTTTTTTTTCCTCATTGGTTCGGGGGTTCCTGAATAGGGCTCAGCAGTTATTCTTGTGCACAAGCACAATATAGCAAAATACTGTTGTTTCATGGTGGCTTTTTCATGTAATTATGTTTGCTTAAACTTTAGCGGTGTGTTATGGTGCTTTGGCGGTTAACCAGAAGTAATTACCACAGAACACGAGTTTCATAACAAGCTATTCACTCGAAATTCCTGAATGTTGAATACAGTTGAGCCTCGATGACCCCAAAGAGGCATTGTGACATGGCTTTCGTGCCGATGGTTTTGTTGAAGGGATGTCCGTTGGAAGTGAGTATTGTACAAATCATACGGATGTTTGGCTTGGATGGGTTCAGGATTTTGCTGCTGAAGCACCAGTGCCATCTCAAAGTCTCTCTCTCTCTCTCTCTGTCTCTCTCTCTCTCTCTCACTCCTTTCTTTGGGTGTTCTTTAAACACTGGTGAGAAAGTTGAGTGTAATTATCACGATCCCCAGTCTGCACTGGGAGATCTCGTCGGTCAACCAGGGATCTCCATCTACATGAACGGTCATGCACATTCATTCCACTTTTCGATTCTCAAAGGCTATCAAAAGTGGTGAGGTCGACGTGTCGACCTTTGTGTTTCCTGTGCTTAAGCCTTTGTTGCATGCTCCAAAGGCTTAGATGCTTGTAAGATACTAGTAGCTTTTAGGGCCACAAAAGGGCCCAAACCACTGGTCACAACAGTGTTGCCAAGTGACTTGGCTGGCGGTGCCAAGCCATGTTTGGAAGTAGCATGGAACGCCATGGCCAAAGCAATTAATGTTGTAGAGATGGGACTGGCTATGTGACATTTGGTGTGGGTCAAAGACTCCGAACCATGGTTCACATTTTTGGTAGTCTATGTGTTAGGGGAATGTAGGGGAGCTAGGGGGCGTTGATTCAATTCCCAACCATGTCTAGGGTTGTTTGTCACCATCCTTGACCAACCCACTCCAAAAGAAGCCAGCATCCGCTACTACTGCCAATCCAGAACACATGATCAAATATCCTGGTTTTGGGCATGGTCAGGCCGACCTGTTCTTGAACGTCCTGGCCTCAGCGTTGGGTTTTCGCCATGGTCCAACTTTCTGCGAGACGTTTCGCAGTTGAACTCGTTGAGGATCTGCGTGAACTCATGGCGTTCATGTTGAGGAACTAACCCCGATCACACCCCAAAATATGCACCTTCCCAGGGTCTTAGACTGTGGTACCTTTCAAAAAAGGTACTCTCCCTGCGTCGACGAACACCGCTCTCCTCGTGTTTTTTCAGCCCACATGGATGCTCCGCACGATGCTCCTCACGATGCTCCGCACGATTCCTGGGAAGGTTCTGGTCTATTTGAGAGCCACGACGTCCGAAGGCCTCAGAATCCGTTGGTGACCGCGGCGGGAGGAGGCTCCGGCGAGATTGGAGGCATTGCGCGGAAGGAACTCGGAGGCTTACATCGTTCTTACATCTTACTGCTTCAGACCTTTGATTGTTAAGATGACAAGGGTACATCAACAAAGTACGTGTTTTTGTTGTTTCATATATACAACAAAAGGCACCTTATTTGTGCGTTGCGTAATTCATTAAACGCAACACACCAACAGGTTATGTAATCTTCCCCTTTTCCATTGGTTTTGATGGTTTTCAGTGAACCTAAGGCTGGCTTTGTGTGGCCACCGTTTGAGTGCCGAATCTTGATTGCTGTCGTGCTGAGGTTGAGCAAACTCTTGTATTCCTCGCACGAGGCACAAGAGCCTGCCTGACTGTTGTTTGTTTTTTGGAGGTTCGTGATGAACGTTGGTGTTTGTCCTGTGTTTTGCTTTTTCAAGCCAACACTACCAGGAAAGGATGTTGCAGAAATAGCATGAACATGCAACAACCAAACTCGATAACAAGGATCATTGCAACAAGAAACATGATACCACCAAACCAACCACAAGGCCCTGAGCATCCGACATGCATGATTTTTTTTGTTTTGCTCACATGACATCTATGGGACCAGGCGCCTAAAGGAGCGCCCTGACTAGTCGTGGCACCACGACTGGTGACCCTCCAAAGAGAAGCCACGACTAGTCCAGGTACTGATGTTTCATGAGAACCAGATGGTGAGTAAGAGGTGGAAATGGTAGTTCCTATAGAAGTATATACAACTTGTGGGGAAAATTAAAGCGGGTAGAACCTCCTTTCTAAGGATGTTTTGGACACTGCTTTTAACTATATTTAACTATTTGGGGAGTCGCCTATACTGTCCAATGACATGACACGAGTTTCTGTTATAACTTCTGAGAGATTTGGAAGGAGGCAGAACTTGTTGGGTAGTTCAGCTTGTTTTTCAAAAGGCTTTGCTGCTTTGCTCCCTCCATACCCATATATAGACAGCGAGAGGGGGTCCCTGTCTCAAAGTTGGACTGACAGCTGTGGCAAACAATAAATCATAGGGCGCTCAAAACATTGGACTTAAACAGTTGTGTGCAGGTGCTCTTTGATGTGTCCCTACGAATGGGTGAACCATGTTTGAGATGTGTAACCAGCCACAAGAAACATATTTCTACACTTACAATTCACTTACACATACGTACAATATACCTAGGAAGCAACCTGGGTGACCTTTCATTTGGACCACCCACCACCCAACATACGTAGCCGGGACCTCCGGAGCCGGGCGCCGTCGAGGCGGAGCTTTGGGTGCGGATGTATTTGCCCGTTTGGGATGCCCGTTGGGGTTTGGACGGTGCCGTGGTCGGAGTTGAGAGAAGACAAATGGATTAGGTAGGATCCGTGTGCTAAGCCACGAACAAAGATGGAAAGATGATCACAGGCACAGAGGGGAACTTGACCTGTTGCGCGCTTTTGACCAAGTAAGTGCTGTCTCCGGTGTATCCTTATCGTCAAAACAGGTCACAGAACCACCCAGGAATGTTCGCCAAGAAGAAAAATCGGGATTCCACATCAGCTGCGACCTCGGTCTGGGCGGATTGGTCTTCCCTGAGGTCTTGCTTGACAAGCGTGGTTGGGGTGGAGATGCATCTCTTTGCGTCCGGGACGCCCAGCGACAGCGACAAGACGGCGACGAGAAGCCGCTGATGGAGAAGTACACGGGTCACACGATTGACGAGGTCCAAAGAACTGCTTTCAAACATAAAGGCCAAAGGACTCGCACTATATAATTACATCATTAGTCCCTTCATGGCCCTTCCATACGATCTGAGGTGGATGTATGTAGAGGATTGTAAGTTAGGACCACTTGGTACTTGAAGAGGGTCATGATAGGAGTTCGTCAATATCAATGTTTCAATTGTATCGTGACGTCTCTTTGTTCCTTAGTGACAGTAGTGAATTGCCTTTGCATACCCTGTTTGTGCAGCGGCTTTTCCCAATGAACTTATAAACAAACAATCCACGAAACAATCCACATTGTTTAACGTTTACTTCATGTTCTCCCAGGGGCTCTCCATGTCTTTTATTCCCTAAGGGTCCAACATGTAAATCCCTAAGGGTCCCTCCCTATTGGAAGTGTTGGTTCACAGTCTCCAATCACCACGTTTCGTCGGCTCAAGCCGTTTGTCTGCTTGTGCTCACCGCTCGCCGCTCGTCTCAGAAAACATCCCTTGACCGGACCGGCTCATCCGTCACTCAAACCAGAGACATCCTCATCTCAACATATCTCAACATGTAATGTACTTCTACATGTTCGCAAACAGTCCTCCTCGTGACAGCAAATTTTCGGCGTGACCTGACTGGTCGAGAAAGTCTCTTCGCGCGCCCAGGCGGATCCTTTGTCCACCCTGCACCTGTTTGGGACTCAAGTCGGACAGAGAGGGCCGGTGAGATGTGGGCCTTTTTGGAATCGTACGACATCTTGAGGGATGTGTGTATTTGTTTGAGACATTTTGCTTTCTTATATGCTTTCTTTCTGTAAGGATTTAGGATTGTTTGGAACATTTGCAATATTTGAATATTTGTGTACACAGTGTCTGGGATGTTCTAATTGTAGCCATGAACGAGGGAAAACAAAAACCTCCGACTCGCTAGACTACACTCTCCGCCGTTGACCACGTCACGGTGACATCGAATCGATGCCTCTTCGATTGCAGAACATCGCCAACGTAACGTCACGCGTCATGTCTTTGACCACGTCACGTCAGATCCAGGTCCCGAAACCGCCAGACGAGACGTCGCCAGGGGCGACGAAAGCGCCTTGGTCGCTCTCGGTCGCTCCTGTCGGACGTCTGAGGTCTGAGGTCTGGGACGTGCTGGCCAACGTGGGTTCTCCCATCGGTGGCTAGCCCGCACTTTGCCCCCGCAACCACGCGAACTGGGTGGGAGAATGGGGCGAAAATCAAAAAGCGCACCGGTGAACAGAAGGATTTGGTTTGTGGGATTTGTTGTTCCCACAAAAGAAAGAAACCTCGACCTCGAGACCTTTGGAGAGAGTGCATTTATTAGATGGATCAGAAAGAAACATGGGAGATTTTGCACCAGCTCGGATGTTTGCATATTATGTTTGCCGAGGGTTTATGACGATGCATGTTGATAACTAATGTATTGTGTGATAGTTGATTTTGTGCATATAGAGCCAGAATCACATGTTCAATGGGACCATGAGCACAAGGCTGTGGTTTGGACCGACATCACGTTTGAAGTTTGAAGCCCGTTTTATGTTTGTTTGATCGCCAAGGAATATTTTGAGGCATCCCTCATCACACTGAGAACATTATACACTTGTGGACGCCCTCTTGTTAATGGACAATCCTCCGGTTAATGACTTAGCAATGTCAAGATGAACAAATGCCGGCTTTGTTTGTTGAACTCTTATTGACTTCCTCATCACTCCCCAACCCCAACTTATATATATATATATCAAACAGCTGGGTTCTCACATTGAGTGGGTATGCTGGGAGGAGTGTCATCTTGCATACATCTTGGAGTCGTTGAAGTGTTTTTTTTGGGGGGCAACGGTGTCAACAAAAAACCATCTACGCGTCCATGATATGCAGCACTCCTTGCAGCACACGCCAGGTGTCAACTACATGCTTCTACGACATACTTGTTATGGTGCATTGCTGAGTTCACACCGGCACGGAACCGGGACATGCATGGTCCGAAGAGCTCCTCGCTGCTCCGAGCTGCATCGTGAAGAGAGATACCCATTTGGGCCATAATTATGTAGCATCCAAGTCGTTTTGAATATGTCACACTGTCCAAAGCACATCCTATCAGAGGATTCACTAAGATGTGCTAGTCTTGATTTGAGGGTCACAAGACACCTCTATAGATGAGTCCTCACGGCTGGTCGAAGAAGTTCAGTGTGAATCAGGACACGGACAAAACCTTGGTGCTCATTCTTTGCCTTCACGGTGAGACCATGGTGAGACCAAACGGATGCTGTCCCATGGTGAGACCATGTGAGACCCACGTCGTCCATGAAAGGAAACAACGGAGATCGACCATGGTGAGACCAAACGGGTCCAGAGATGTGGTCGCTGAACGCTCGACGAACGCGACGACCGGGCACACGAGGACGAGGACGACAGGGGTCGGTCTAGCCGGTCTAGCCAGTAGCCTACACGACTCAAAATGAATCCAATCATTGATGGCTCCATTCAAATTGTGTCGGTGAAGAGACAAAATGAATCAGTGATGCGGCCATTCTGCAGCATTCTTTTTCCCCCTCACAACGACCGCCTGATGATTGGTGGGTTGATGTGGGTTGTGTTTGTCAGATATGGCAGATATGGATGTTTCTTGTTTTTTTCCCTCAATGGATAACCATCCAAGTTAACAGACACCATCGCAGGGCATCCTGCAGATCCATCGCTCATGATCTCGCTCAGGAACCATGCTGGAGCTGCAGCTTTCACCAGGCCGTCGAACGGCGTTTTCGACGCGCCGCGAAATTTCGCCGCTCGAAGCCACGAGGCTTTCGCCGAGCTCGTCAGGGACGAGATGACTCATGAGTTGGATTTTGCGGGATCGTTTTCTGGGGACGTCAACAAGAACCACCTGTGAGAAAGAGGTGAAATATGATAAGGATGATAAGGTAACATAAAATAGGATATAATATGCAACATAATCTTATAATCAGCATTTAATATAGCAAACAGACACCCATTCTTAGTGTCCCCTCCAAAAAATCATTGGATTCCATGAGGGGCGGAGAGAATCGCCCACGCTTTCGCGAGGCCCGACCTTGGCGCATTTCAATTTCCGCGCCTCGGACGAGGCTGGACAAAGCATGACGAACCCGTCTGGTGGGGTGGGAAACCGGCTGTCCCGCATGGAACGTAGCCCTCCAGCTTATGGGCGGTTTGGTGAAAATGCCTGTGGTGAACGAGGATGGATCCTCATTTTCCAAGGCTTCGAAAAGAACCGAAAGGGTGAAGGTGGCGCATGGACGGACTCTTTGTCGCCAAAATTCCGCTGAAGGGTTTTATTGGGCTTCTTGATCTCATCATTTTTTATGGTAACCGTGAACTCCACGCTGCAAAATTTCCACCGAGCCTTCCCATTGCGGAGCTCGCACCCCGAAGTCTCCGCCACTCGTCGGTGACGGAGCTAGGCTGCTCCCATGTGGTGCCGCGGCAGCTTCGCCGTGCGGGGCGCTTCTTGGCGTAGAACGGCGGCGCCTCCGAAGCGTTGGAGCGGCGGGCCGAAGAAGTACAGTGGAAGAGTGGAGTAGAAGGAGTAGAAGGAGTAGAAGTTGGCCTCCAACCTAGTAGCTTCTTGCTCCTAGTAGCGATGCCAGGAGCCCCTAGTAGCGTCCTTGCTCCTAGTAGTAAGGCCAGGAGCCCCTAGTAGCGTCCTTTGCTCCTAGTAGTACAGTGGAACTCTTGGTTGTCAGGTCTTGTCACTGCTCCGAATCCTGATATCAACTTGGAAAGCAGGCTGAGTCTCCTGATGTTTTGAGCCACCAAATTACCTATGCTACACCGCCGTTGGTGATTCGACAACCCCATCGGTATGGGAAAGAGGGCAATGAATTCAATCATGCGATTTTTTTGTTCACATTATTGTACCATGGCACATGGCACATCATTGTTCAATCACGTGCCATGAATTCCTTTTTACTACTGACTGTACTATGGCACATGGCACGCGCCCACCTCGCCACGTCCGACTGCCTTGCCGCGTCCAGCCCGAGGCCTTGCAGTGTCGCAAGTGGACGGACGAGCTGCGCTTGCGGCCCCGCCGCACGCCGATGACCCAGGTCCTCCTGAAGGGTGGATGGTCGCTGGGTGGATGGTGAGAGTGATCTCCGGGGAACGCAATGCCATGAGTTTGAATTGTCTTCAGACTTCAGGAACTTCAGACAGCTAACTAATGTTGAATTCTTAGTAAAAGGGGGTCGGGACCCTCTAGACAAGCGGGGGGGCCTCTATAACTACCATCAAAACAAATCTGGGTTCCTGGGAGGATTGCTTTTGTAATTGATTGTAGTTTTCATGTTCATGTTCCTGTTTTTTCAATTTCATAGATCATAGTTATTTGTGTTCCTTTCTCAGGTTCTTTGTAGATATTCTGAGCAATCCTTATATAATATACTACTAAGTACATCTAAGTACTAAGAAGAGTACAAAGAAGGTTCTCAGGTTCTTTGCGGCTTTGAAGAACTAGAGAAACCTATACAAATCAATACTCTCAGCAAGCCAGCCATTGGCTTAGTCGATGCTTAGTAGTATTAATAATCATTGATATGTTTAAGTAATTTCACTGAGGAGAAACTGTGCACAATTGAGGGCCCTTAAAACAAATCTATTATTGAGGATCAGGGGCCTTCCTGGTCTACTACCTTGCAAATTTGTTTAGGACCAATCTTCACACAAAAGGTTGATTAAAGAAGCGATGGCTTTGGGAAGCTGTCGATTTTGAAGAAGAACTAGAGAACTATTTGCTTATCAATACTCTCAGCAAGCCAGCCATTGGCTTAGTAGTATTGCTTATTTTTTTGCTGCGGAAACATATTCGCACAATTGAGAACCCTTAAAGCAACTCTATTATTGAGCATAATTTCCCTTCCTGGTCTACTACCTTGAAAATTTGTTTAGGACCAATCTTCACACAAAAGGTTGATTAAAGAAGCGATGGCTTTGGGAAGCTGTCGGTTTTGAAGAAGATCTAGATAACTATTTTCTTATCAATCCCTGACGATCCATGACCACACATAGGTCACAAATAGAAATGATCTCAGGATATGCATACGTTTCTATTGATCGTGTTAATTGAAGACGTTGTCGAATCACAGATTGGGGTACCTGAAATGTATATACAATTCCAGTGTCATTGTCGGAGGATAAGACCATGAAATCCCAAGAACCAAGCATACCAGGGCGTGACGAACCGTGACAGACCGTGATTTGTCTATTTTGTCCCTTTAAAAATGAGGTCATTGTCGGACTCCAGCGTGACAACCCGTGACGAATTTGAATTTGGGATCGTTGGTTTTGTGGTTTTTGGGTTCTGTGGTTTTGTGGTTTTTGGGTTCTGGTATGATCTCGTTTTTTGAGGTCGGACCTCACAGGGTGAGGTCGGAGAGCCCCAGAAGGCACAACCCCAAATGTTAGCATATATAGAGCTAACTTTCGATCCTCAGGGAATACTCTCAGCAAGCCAGCCATGGGCTTAGTAGTATTAAGAAGTACTGGGATTAGTACGTATAATAGTCATTATTTTGCAGAGGAAAACATGCACAATTGAGGACCCTTAAAGCAAATGTATTATTGAGGATCAGGGGCCTTCCTTGTCTACTACCTTGAAACATTGTTTAGGAGCAATCTTTACAAAAAGGATTGATTAAGGAATTGATGGCTTTGGGAAGCTGTCAGTTTTGAAGAGAAACAAGAGAAACCTATTCTGCCTATACTTATCAACAATCTCAGCAAGCCAGTCATTGGCTTAGTAGTATTCACAGGTCTCAGAAGGATTGAACACCTGAGTCTTTTTTTCAGATAATATTCAATTAGGAACACACACAAATATAGCTTAATAGAGGACCCTTAAAACAAATCTGGGGGTCAGAATTGTGTTTAAACAGTTTGGCGTTAGAGGACCCTTTTACTAATCAGGATCCAACATTACGTACTTGATGGAAGGACAAGTGGCCCATGGTTGCAAAACTTGAAAGAACTGGATGCCCTCTTGCAGAAGGTGGAAGCGCCGCAACAGAGGGCATGTCATAAGTAGAAGACCCTCCAAACTGCAAAAGAATACTGAACGTGCTTTGCTTATGACTCAGCAATTTGTGACACGTCATGACTCCATAGCTGGTCCAACAATTCAATATGTTGTTCGAACGATCCAGGCGTCAATCGCTCAGCAAAGCTCCTACCGTGTAGAGCATTGTGGTGACCGGTCTGGAAGCTCAGAAAGGAGCGTTGTTTTTCGGCCCAGGGTGGTGTTGGGACTTTTGATGCTGGTTGATCTTGTTGGCGGTTTTCTTGGGTATTTTGGAGCATCTTATAGAATCTTCACCGGCCTCCCTCTTTCAACCACCAGTTTCTCAACTGAATTCTCCATGTTTTGCTCCTACTGGAAACTTGATCCAACTCGTTGCCGGTACTTAATGGAACATTCTGAATTTACCCCCTCAATAGGGGTGCAGGGTTAATCTTTCCCAAGTCAGTGAGGCTTAAACAATTTGAAAAGAGACACTGGGTTGAAAAGGTTTTAAAGGCAATTTTAGGATCCCTTTGTGGCTTGTTCGTGTGAACAAGATCGTGCTTGTAGTGGCTCCGATTGAAAAGCATTGAGGCTACCAGATGTTTGCATGGTTGAAACTACAGTACACAGCAATTCGATGCAATTCGTGGAAAGCAACAAAGAGATATTCCTAGAACATCCGTCCTAGAACTTCGTTACGACCAAAAACATACCTGGAACCCCAAACGATCACCGTTTTTTGAGTGCCAATCAGTTTTGAGACGCCACATGGCATTGGTGTTCTGTTTTTGGGTGTTTGGCTAAAACGATCAAGAAAGATCAAGGACCGCTTTCGCTATGTGGAAACCTTGCCGGAAACGAGCTGGAGACACCCAAACGCTTAAAGACACAACACAACATTTATAAACACGACTCAAACGACTAGAAACACAACACAAACGACTAGAAACACAACGCCGTTGCGTGAACCACCTGAAACAACAACCAAAAATACAACGCAAACGATCAACAAAACGACGCAAACGCTCAACTTTATGGCGCAACTTTGGTGTTGTTATTCAATACACTTTGGAATCCCTGGAGTGCCCTTTGTGACACCGGCACATAGGTCTTGGATTGTGTTTTTTGATGGTCGATCAAAAATCTAAAACGAATAGATTTTGGTAGGTGTTCCAGGCTCCAGGTATATATACATCAGCAAATTTGCACTGTGATACTTTACATGCCTTGACCACGTGTGAAGTGGAAAGAACCGTTGATGGAAGTGTCACATGCTGAACATTTGCCGGTGTTCGTGAGCAACTCGACCTTTTGCGCGGTCTTGCAGACTTTCTGAACTACGGCGTTCTTAGCCGTACTTATTTGGTTTTGCCCCGTGCCCTCTCTGAAGACCTTCAGGACTTGTCACAGCCATTCGGTGATCAAAATGTGAACGAATCCTGCCGTGATGTCTTCCGAGACCTTGGGCAGGATAATATTTTGAGAAGCGCTACCAACTGACATGAGCCTTGAAAACTACAAATGCTACTTGCAAGCAGCCAATCTGCACACAGGGTATGGACGGACATAATCAATATTTGTGTAGAGCAAGCAAAAACGGTGGTTCATTTTTTGTGACGGTGTTTCACGTTGCTGAAATGATGAATTAAGGCAGATTGCATCCGGGGGGTCTCCGAGATGAAATGAATTCACTTAGAACCTATTCCGTGGGCTCAAGTTTGTGCAAGGCATGCTCAAGTTGAAATGCGCTGGGCCCAGCTTGCGACAAACTGATTTTTCAGACACGGACCAAAAGTCGAGCTTACTCACACACACACACACACAGAGGCCACATCTTCACAAACAGGACCTTCAGGAAGAGCTGATGAGATGAGATGAGATGAGATGAGATGGCTGTTAAGCTTCGGCACGCCGGTTGCATCAACGCAAGGGCGCTGAGGATGACCTTTTGCCCAAAGCTGGCAGATTTCGGAGTTCGGTGGCTACTCTGCCGGCCTGTGAATAGTGCAGCTCACTCCAGCAAAGTGGTCACGACGTTTGCTTTTGCCGCTCCGAAAGCACCTGTGCCCGCTGGTCATACGATTAAGGTGTTGAATCTTGACATTGATCACATGATTTTCAGCACACCCTGTGCATGACAAAAAAGGTTTGCAAACTCGATGAACTGAGGTTTGTCCTCCGCCCGAGCAAGATGTGGACAGAGGTCGTTGGGAATTTGGGATGAACAATTGCAAAACCACCCGGTCGTAAGAATCGGCTGCCATCGGAGTTGGCGGGTGGTTTAAGCAAGCACAGATGGGTGTGGGTGAAGACCAAAGACTCCATGGTACGCAGGTTGGATTATATTGGAGTTCCTGGCATTTCACGCTGTTTGTTTCCTTCGGGGGGCCGTGCTGCACTGCAGGAGCGGCCGCAGCTGCAGCTGACCAAGCGAGGTTTTATTGCAAGGGCTCCAAGAGCTTTCAACACACCCAAAGGTTAGGCCAATCAAACAATGGCAGCGGTAAGAAAAGTGCACCAAGTTCCCATGCGCAACACTGGATTCTTGAGCGGACTTTGAGTGGACTTTGCACTTCGAGAACCAAAGACTGACTGGTCTGGGAGTTTGGCGGATTTGGGAACCCTTTGCCCTTCATCCAATTTCATCCTACGGTTGCCAACAGCCTGGGCCAAGGCCATTGCCGCTGAGGGTGGAGGAATCATCGTAGAGGCCTTTGTTTGTTGAAATGATGTCAATGGGCAGCTGAAGTCCCAGTACGACCCACCGCACATCACCACCATGCAGATTGTTTCTTTTTTTTTTGAAATGTCAGAAACGACCAACAAACACATGTTGTTTTTCTGATTCACAAATGTATGTTCAGATTTATTGTTTCGCTTGCGGCAAAACTGTGACATGAATCGATCCATTTCCTAGTTCGTGGATGTTTTCGGAAGGCAGTTGTGTGGAATCGTGCTGTTGTTTTTTAGGTATGTTGATGTTTCGGAGGGCATTTGATGTTTCGGAGGTCGAGTCGGTATGTGTGTTTTTTCCAGTGAGAGGATGTTCTTTGAACCAGCCGGATGTTCCCCTTGGATACTGTTTGTTTACTCGTTCGGCCCTTCAGGATGGCCAACCGGCACGGCGCGTGGAAGCGGATGCTCCGAGCTGAGAGGGAGACTGGTTCCAGTGGGTCAGGGCATCAGGACAGGTTTGGGTGCATGGACCCCAAAAGTTCAAAACACATTATATCCGCCCGCCTTCTCTTCCTTGTGGTAATTGTATTTGAATGTATTATGTGGTTTCAGTTGTTTTGTTCGCAAGGAAGATCAGGTTTGGAAGCCTTGCGCAGTGTACCTTCACAGAAGGTTTTAGCTTGGTTGCGTGAAACATGTTGATAATTGTATACCTAAACCTCTCAATAGCCCACTCAAGGATGGCCCACATCAGCTTCAGAATGGCCCTTGGACCCATGAGAGTGCAAGAAGCCAGAAGCGCTCTTTTTGTGCCCTTGCGTCATCGTCGCATAGTTTTGCAACATTTACAAATGCGAATGGAAGTGCAGCGACACGTACAGTGCAACTTGTACATATATATGTACCATATGTACTTTGGCTCAAGGATCAAGCGACTAGAAAAGGTGCGGTTTCCGTTCCGACGCTACGCCGCTTATGGATCGTCAGTGATAGCTTCAAACTTCGCTGATTAAGATCCACTCGCAGGTTATCAGCCGTACGCGCTCTTTATAGCCGTACGAGCTACACGAGACCAAGAACAAGACTAGTCATTACAGAAACCTGCAATGTCAAGCTCAGGAGGAAGTGGAAGCGAACCCTATTCATTCGCTGCTCCTGGTGGTCCCAACACCACTTCGTCACCAGACTCTACAATGGGTACTGATTTATCAGCAAATGCTGACGTTATCACTATGCCTACTGGATCACAAATCTCGGAAAGATCCGTGCCACCGGCTCGGAATCTGACCGATCTTGCACCCGTAGGACCAAGAAGATCGATGAGAGCTACAACAAGATCTACATCGCCTATAACGTCTACCGCGAGATCCCCAAGAAGGAGTATAGAGAAGAGACGTGACGATGATAGAGGAACAAAAGAGCAAAGAAGAGAGATTCAGCTGGGTGAAGAATTGAGATCGGCGAGAAACGCATACAATTTTCTTCATGAAGAATATGAATGCATCCAAGCCGGATACTCACGACTACACCACGAGGCTGAAGTGGAGTTCAGGCAAATGTCTGACTACAACAGGAAGATGCAGGAACATCTACAAAAGATGACACAGGAAGATGAAGGAGCGACAATAAGAATTGAAGAGCTCGAACACAAGCTACGCTTGGCGGAATCGACAGCTGAACATATCTACATGAGATATCAAGAGCTTGCACAAGAAACTCATCAAGAACATTCAGAGCTTGAATCTGTGAAAGCAACGAAGGACAGAATGTCCCAAGAGCTTCAAGCAGCAATTGGACACATCCAAGAACAGAATGAATCTTCATTGGCGATCAATAGAAGATCAAAAGCCATTCAGGATGAGAACACAGCCTTCGTCGGAATAGCTGACCAGATACAAGCTAGAATGATTGCGCTACAGGATGAGAATGTCAACATGCACGAGGTGATCCAACGCCAGAGAGAAGAACAATGGAACAGTGAGGTCAGGGAAAGACGTCTTCAACACAGTGTTCACTCATCTCAAGATCAGAGCAATCAGGAAGCTATGGTTATTGATCATCTACGAGGTCAACTAGCTATGGCACGTGGAGCTGAACTCAACGCGAGAGCGGAGATAGGAGAGATGGAAGTGGGCATGAGGATGGAGATGTTTGTATGCCAGACTGAAGTCTCTGCTAAAGAAATGGCAGAAATGAAGGCGAGCCACCATGAATACGAAGCAAACGTCGCAAAGGAGGTTATTGCAAAAGGAGAAATATTCAACAACGAAGTCCTAGAAGGTTCCATCCGTGAACGACAACAGTTGAAAGACGCCAACCTCGCTCTATCCGAAGCCAACGCACAGCTGAAAAGAGAGAATATGATGAGAGCTCCTATGTTCGGCGATGATGGTGCTGAAATTCAACAGAAGATCAGAGAACTGGAGAATGCACTATTGGAAAGCCAGAAGGAGACAAAGAATGTCATTATGGAAAATGCGAAATTAAAAGCAGAAGCACGAATGGCACCCATAGTCTCTCGGTACAGCAAGCGTCATAGTTCCAGAGACCGCGGGTTACCAACCCACGCGTCCGAGGAAGATGAGATTCGGAACGCAAAAGAGGAGGCGAAGCACTACAAGGATGGGTACAATGAAATGACAGAGAGCCGAGATGAGATGTATGAATGGTATGCCGAAACCCACAATGAGTACGCCGAGGAAAGGGAGAAATCAATTGAGCTATCCGAGGCGAACAAATCATTGAGGGACAAGATTTCAGAAGCAGAAGCATCCTCTTCATCTCATCTTGCACCGGCAACCTCTACAATCATGAAAGTATCGAGGAAGGAAGAATCAAAGATAAACGTTCCGTCATGGCCCAGGATCAATGATCTTGGACTATGGAAGGCAAATCTCATTCAATCGATCATCATTGCGGCCAATGATTCAGATCAAGAGCCCTGGATCGACTGGATCAAAGAAGCCATGGACGATCCTGATCCGGACAAGTTTGTCGACTCAGGAGACCAAAGATTCCATTCAATCGATGCCAAACTCGGCCTAGCTCTTACCAAGGTCGTCATGGATGCGAAAGATGATGGTTCAGGTGTAGCTATGAAGTTGAGGACGAGGATCAATGCAAAAGGGAGAACATCAAGCCTCATAAAGGGAAGAGAGGTCCTAGCCCTGATCCTTATGAATTTCAAGACAACATCAAATGTGGAAGTCTTATATACTTCAATGCACCTCTACCAACTAGAATATCAAGGAGACAAGAACTTATCGTTGTTCTTCCACACTTGGGATGAGATTCTGGCAGGAATGAAGCCCGTTGACGTCCCGAGCGACGAAACTCTTCGGGATCTCCTATGGAGAAAGATCAGGAACTCAAACCTCATGGCATACGACATCAGCGCCTACAACAGCATGAACGACGATGATGCCAAGAAGACATACAAACATCTACGTGATATGATCAGAAGGCACATCGAACGGCAAACTGAAGACAGGATGATCCTGGAAAAGGAGAAGGCAGTGAAGAATGTGGCCAATATCTTTCAGAATCTCAAACCAGGCGGACCTGCTCCAAAACTGAAAGCTGCACCAGCTGATCCGAAGAAGAAACCAAAAGGGCAACAAGAACAGGTTGTCTCAGAAGACGCTGCTGCAGTGAAGCCGAAACCCAATCCCAAGAAGCATCCTGAAGACAAGAACAAAAAGGGAAAGGGGAAAGGTAAAGGTGATGGAAAGGATCGCAGCCGAAGTCCGAGTACAGACAAGAAGAAGATACCATGCAAATACTTCGTGAAAGGTAACTGCACTATGGGGAAAGATTGCCCATTCAGTCACAAGAAACCCAGATCACCATCCAGAGGATCTTCTGTCGGAAAGAATGACAAGCCAGTATGTTGGATGTGGATTCGAGGAACTTGTGACAAAGGGAAGGATTGCAAGTTCTACCATGACCCAAAAGCCTCTCCTAAGAAAGGGATATCTGCACCAGCTGACTCAGGAGACGATAGGCCAAAGCCCAAGGCAAAACCCAAACCGAAGCCTAAGGCGAAGCCTGGAGCCCCAGCCATTGACGGTGAACTCTTCATGGACGAATCCGAAGATGAAGGGATTGCTGCATCCGCCAAGGCAAGAGAAGGAGGTGCAAAAGTATCCTTTGATGAAGAGACTTGTGAGATCATGTTGAACGAAGCGATCTACTCAGTCAGGAACAAATGGAAGGTAGTAGAAAGGAAACCTCTACGTCCAGACATCAAACGATACGATGAGAAAGAGCTCACCTGCTACACGAGGAAAGAACAAATCAGATTTGAAGAAAAGGTCGCAGAGGCGAGAGGCATATTGATGGTCCCCTACACTGAGATCAAGAGGGTCCGAATACCAGTTGGACCAAAGGGTGACCTATCGGTCACTATGTCTTTTGACGAAGATGACGGCCTAGTTTTCCATCATAAAGTCATTCCTCATGTATGCGAGGGAAAGAAAGATCATGCAGACACAAAGACATTGTCTATTCCAGCCAAAGGGTCAAGAACGAAGTTCATCATGGACACAGGATGTGGATATGATTTGATATCGAAAGGCAGAGCCAAGAAATTAGGTCTGGAAGTGAGAGAAAGCGACCAATCAATGTCATTCTATACTGCAAATGGAGTGACATCCACAAAAGGAGTCGCCGACATTCATTTCGACGAATTTGACTCTACCTACTCCCCATTCGTCCTAGATGAGTCTCCTTCAGTACTGTCTGTTGGAAAGAAATGCATGGAGGAAGGATACACATTCATATGGCCAGCCTGCGGCAACCCGTACATGGTTTCCCCGAACTACAAGAAAATCATGTTAGAAGTAGAGGGAAACATCCCATATATTGTCAAGGGCAGTGACTTCTGTACTCCCACTGACGATACAAGGGCGGAGATGATCGCAAGGTTCACCCTAGGAGAAGATGAAGCTGATTACCAATCGACTTTCATCAACTGTGATGTGGATCCTCAAGGAATCATGTGTGATGATGACGACCTTCCTGTGATTGAGCCTCCAAAAGTCAAAAGGCGAAAGAGGAATAAGAAGTTCAAGGCATCTCCGGGAGAAGAAGATGAGGTAGGATCAGATGTCGCCGGAGACAGTGAACCAGAAGCTGACGATGATGATGCAGATGACATCGAGGTGGATGTTGTTGACGGTGCAAGTAGAATGGTGAGAAGAGGAACTCTGAAAGCAGATGCCAGGAAAATCGAGCATCTACTCACACATCGTTACAAGAATCCCTACTGTGAGTCATGCATCAGAGCAAAGATGAAACACTTCAAGACGCATCGAGGAGCGTTCAAGAGAAAGCTCAAAGCTTTTGGAGATCTGGTTACCTTTGATTTTGTCGATACGAGGAACATCCTTGATCAAGGGATCAGTACTGATCGAGAGATCTTCGTCATTCGTGACAGGTACACAGGCGTCATATGGGCCTATCC